TGTAAGCTGAAAAGCAAATTTTTGAACGTGTGGAAGAAGAGCCCAACATCAGCACTTGCCCCCTTGCAGCTAAAGTTGGAGTTTCACAGTTTGTAGTGCATCATACATTAAAAGAACAAGGCTTACATCCATACCACGTTCAAAAAGTGCAAGCTTTGGAACCCGCTGATTTTCTACGTTGTGTAATTTACTGCGAATGGTTGTTACAGCAATGTCGTGAACGCTCTAACTTTTTAAATTGCATAATGTTTACGGATGAAGTGGGATTCACTCACAATGCTGTTTTCTCACATTCACATTTAGTCCGATGAAAATTCACACGATTGTCGAGAATAAATAACCGTTTTCGTTTTCTTTCTTTCGGGACATTATTAGTGCTACACCCCAACTACATTTTTTGAAGTCGAAAGAAATTTTTCTTCATAGAAAATTGAAGACAGAATTTTACAGTAGGAAATTTGGAAAAACATCTGATTCTTAATCGTAACAGCAAAAAAAAGATGTAGTTTACAGCAAATGTATGCTTTATGCAAAAATTGTGTTATAGGTGATACATGTAATTATTATAGACATTTCTCGTGTTTCTTGTTTGTAGTATATTATTTCTTCTTTCCGGATCGCCGGAGGTTAAGTTGCAAATGTTCATAAAACGGGGCCTAAGTTGAGAAATATTTTTGCATATAAATCCGTTCTTTAATTATTATTATCAGTGCAAATATCGCCTTCCGTTCTTATGATTACAGTGTTTATCTTCAGAGCTTTTGAAGGTACTGAAATATTGACAATTCTCTTTCTGCAATCACTGCAAAAATCAAGTTTGTTAGTTTTGTTTTAGACGAAAATGTCAAAAACGGCCAATTTCATGCAAGTGTGTGTCAGTCTATAGTAGCACAGTGTGTAAAAATTGGCCTAATAGTACCGCATGATTTGTATTTTTGTATTTTTTTGCCTAATTCAAAACGTATAAATCTGTAATTAGAACTTCAATATTCCTGGTCTCTATTCTTAAGATTAATTTTTCGTATTTCTAAGTTCTTCGTTACTTTTAGTTTTTTTCTTTTTTAAGGACACAGCCTGATAATATTAAAATTTTAATTGCAGATTTATGTGTTTTGAATTAAGCAAATAATATAATTCCTATGTCATTTTTTTGTAAAATAGAAAATACGTTTTTTTTTTTCCTCTTGTGAACGTAATCTGGGGACATACTGTAGATTTCATTGTTAGTACAAAATCTACTTGGCTGCAAAAGGCAAGCAGAAATAACACGAAAATCGTTCCACGTTGACTAGTGTCAATGATTGAGTGCAATAGTACTGCATTTTCAAATTTTCGAGAACGTGGGGATCAATAAAATCAAATGCTTCATTCACTAATTTGTTGAGTCAACCTCTATATAAATAGAATTTTTTACAATACACCAGAATGCACATTTTAGACAGGATTTATTCAGCAAAATTTTGGGATTTTAAGATGAATGAGTAGACAAAGTTTGATAACCGATTTGCCATGGTTCAAATAACATTAAAACATTTGCAAAATTTCCGAGCACTTGGTCTTGTAGTTTTTAAATGGAACTGTAAAATGTTATTTAGTACATGAAACTGATTTTTACTTTCCCAGCGTCCATGACTCCTAGAGTGGGGAAAAAGAGCTCCTCTGTGTTCGTATGTCTGTCGTCTGTATCACTTTTGTTAGATAGACAACTTTGCAATTACTCGACTGATCGCTGTAAAATTTTATACGGTTTCTCCAGTCAGAGACGACAAAGTACCAAACGCGACGGAGGTACGGGTGCAATGCTCTTAACCATACATCACATATTTTTTGAAATGTGGATACGTGTAATCCATATCGTTTTCACCAATGTATTCCGTTATTTTACAGTCCTTTGAAGCACACCACATTTAGGTCCTTTCAACCAGATCACAAAGCCACACCACAATTTGGTCCTTCGAACCGGATCACAACAGTTTGATGATGTCATTTCAAAATTTTGTATACCTGCTAAATACGATTTAAATTTTATAACATAACTTGAGATGAACGATACCGCAGTCTTTCGATGAGGCCTGAACAATGGCCGTTCTCTATTGACGGTGATTTTAGACTGTAATCGTGTCACATTATCGACCTCATATTTTTCGTTCACGTGGTAAACAGTGAGAGTTCTTTCTTGGCAGTGTTGGGCAGTATCTAGATACTTGTATCTAAATAAAGTATCTAGATACATTTTTGGGTATCTAGTATCTGTATCTAGATACAATCGAATTTAAGCACTAAATATCTGTATCTAGATACAAAATTAGTGGCGCAGATACAGATACATTTTTTTATTTCACTTTTTTTTTCAGTAATTATTAGTTGAGTTATACTACTAGTAGTAATTTTTGATACTTCATGTTGGTGATTTTGGTCACATAAACAAAAATAGAGGTAAGAGGTCCACTAATAGTGTTCTGTCACGGAAATTTTCATATTTTAAATACCATCATTTCCTACATGGTAGCCTTCAGTACTTATACATCTTTAAATATAATCCTGAGGGGTAATAAATCTAAGCCATCGTAAGAAGATATTTTAAAAACCATAAACCGCAATTCACTATTCACTGCGTTTTACCCTTGTCGGGGCAATGTACTTTATCTGTGTACCTGAGCAACCCGGGTCCGGTAGGCCCGCTGTTTGTATTTGTGTTATTAAAAATAAGAGTAATTTTAATAGTAAAAATATGTGTTTAAGGTATGTTATTATTTTTAGAAAATAATAATTGCGTGTTACATAATGATTAATTTTTTTCAATTAGCACAAATTAGTTTGTAATCGACTAATCGAATGTTCAATAACTTCAATACATACATTTCTCTCGCATAAATTGCATATTTGTTCCTGTTTTATATCTTTATTTTTCGGACAAATGTAGCACCTTTTCCTGTTGCCACATGTGTCATTTCTTCACTTTTTCATTGTTGGACCTAACGCGAGGCGGGCTTGGCAGGTCCGTTTTGCCCTAGAATGTGCCGATTATGTTTAAATGTAATTATCTTGGGCAATAAAATTAATATTTTTACAACCCTCCGTAGAATAATTTATCGTGATTCGTGATATATTCTCAGAAATCGTGAAACGAGATTAAAATAAAATGAGTTTCAACAAAAATCTGAAAATTTAAAGTTGCACTCTGGCGATTTCTGCCTGCCAGGCAGCCTTTGATCCTATAAGGGACTTAAATACCTTTCTAAGAAATTGTACTTATTTTGCCTTAAACGGAACCAGCAATTCTTCATAAAATGTATATACCTGCGGCACCGGGATAGACGAATACCGGACATGGTCATAAAAACATCGTAAGCCGATATTGAAGAATAATAATTTATGACAGGTTGCCGCCAACAGACCTTCAGCACAGAATAATCATTTCCGGTATTCTTTTGAAATAATAATTTTAATGGTGGAGATAATTATTATTAGATATACTCAAACACAATTTGGACAGTGTAGTATGGGAATAAAAACAAAAAAAAATATTCTTCTTAAGCGTACGTAATAAATATTGGACAATTTGCGACACATCAATCAATGAGAGTTTAAAAATAAATTTCACATGTTCTAAACATTATAAAGGCACTTCTACTGCTATGGAAGTGGACGTTGTTTTAGAAGGGTTTAGGAAATTATGTATGTATGGTCTAATTTATGGCAAAATAATATCCGACGGAAACAGTAGTGTCTACAATAAATTACTGTCATCAGTGTCATTAATTAATATATATCATCTGCATGGTTCATAATTTCATATTCAAAAGATTGAATGTAAGAATCATATTATTCGCAATTACGTATCCGAGGAAGCGGTACAAAATTTGGCGAACAGCGAAGCGTAAAAATGTTTATTTTTTAAATTTAATACCACAATCCCTTCTTCTGCACCTGTGGAACGGGTGTTTAGTACTGGAAACCAAATTCTGACACCATGAAGAAATAATTTAGGTGATAATACTTTTGAAATGTTGTTAATTTTAAAAAATTCATTAAACAATACATAAAAAAGTACATAAAAAGTTTTCAGTTATTTTATTCGCCAAAGTTTCAAAAAGTATCTGTTTTCTTGTATCTTGTATCTAGATACATTTCGAAAAAGTCGAAATCAATCTGTATCTAGATACTTTTATCTTCCATATATCTGTATCTGTATCTAGATACTTTTAAAAGTATCTGTCCCCAACACTGTTTCTTGGTCATAGTGATCTTAGATATTTACTATGCAAAATTTGGAGATGACGTCATCAAATTGTTGGTGAGATGACGAGAACATTTTGGTTAACGTTTTACTATATGCAAGATATTTCTAAAATGTAAACATGTACATATAAAATTTCACAACAAGCAGTCTAGCAGTTGTAGAGGTTATATCTACAATAGAATCGCAAACAGTCCACAGATGGCAGACAAACGGAAACAGTGTAACCATTTTTTTTGAACACTTGGGGTTATGAAACATCTAAAAAACATAAAACTGGCCGGATCGAAACTAGCAGAATACTTCTATAGCTTACACTCGGGAAGTAAAAAGTTATAGCCTTTAACGCAATCAAATGCAAACTCAAGAAATTGAAGTCAGTTTTGCGCGAAATAAAAGTGATACAACGCAAGTTTATTAGCTCCAAATACCAAACAAATACTGAATTATTAGAATTGAATAGGTATGGTGGGACATTGGTATACGAGCATGTTAGATCGTAGTTTTATTCTACACTAAATATCTTTTTAGAACTTAAACACTTCATAGAAGACAGAATACCCAGGACTGGGGAACAGAAATTGAGAGAGTAATTTGCCACTTACTACGTACTAGCGCTAATCAGTTGATAAATTTTATAAGTAATCAAAGTATCTGATCCACTTAGACTATTTATCTGCTTATCAGATAAATGTTACTTACGAAATGACACTGCTATAGATAGCTATTATTTTCGCAAACAAAAAATGTAACCAGTTGTATTAACACTAACTTCTAAAACTTGTAGTATTTTGTTTATGAAAATAAATAAATAACATAATATTTTAGAATTTTAGAATGGATGATATAGTAATTGGTATTGATCTGGGTACCACAAATTCGTGTATTTCTGTTTATACGAAAGGCAGAATACAAATTCTAGAAAATACAAGAGGAGCAAGAGTTACACCATCTTTCATCTACTTTCCGCCTCAAGGTGGTATCGTCATTGGTGAACATGCAAAATCAATGTCAATTCAGAAACCCGAAAACGGTATCTACGGTAAGCGAATTTGAAATTAGAATAATCCTTAATAAGTACTAATGCACGTGGTATTTGCAGAAATGAAGCGACTTGTGGGCAGACAGTTTGATGACACATACATTCAAAAAACTCTCGACTATTTTCCCTTTGTAATAACGTCAGGCGCCTCTAATCTCCCAGTGATTTCTTTTAATCAGAATAATACAACAATCCAGAAAACACCACAAGAATTGTGTACAATTATACTACAAGAATTAAAAAAATATGCAGAAATAAAATTGAACCAGATAGTAAATAAAGTTGTCATAACCGTTCCGGCTTACTTCAACGTCACACAACGAGAAGTCACTTTAGTAGCAGCTAAAGATGCCGGGTTTACTGTGCTCAAGCTGCTAAATGAACCAACAGCAGCGGCTTTAGCTTACTACTTCGATAATGATATAACCGAAAATCATATTTCATTAGTTTACGATCTGGGAGGCGGAACCTTCGACGTTGCCATTCTTCAGAAAAAAACTGATAATGTGGAAGTACTATGCGTGGGTGGAGACACACAACTAGGGGGTCACGATTTGGATAATTGCATTTTAGATTATATTTTAGAGGTGCTACGCAAAGATTACCATTACAATGCAAAAATAAATCCAGATGATAAAAGAAGATTACGTAATAAGTGCGAAGAAGCGAAGAAAGAACTGTCATCGACTAATGAAGCATTGATAACTATAAACGGAATGGTAGCTAATCATCCCAGAATTATTATTACACTGACGAGGTCTGTCTTTGAAGAGAAAGCCAACAAGTTATTTAAAAAAACTATTGACATTCTACATAACTGTTTAGTCAGTTCAAAAATTTCCAAGCAATCGATTCAAGAGGTAATTTTATGTGGTGGTTCCACCCGAATACCCAAAATACAAGAAATGGTTTCGGAATATTTCGAAGGCAAACAGTTAAATAGATCTGTACATCCTGACGAGTGTGTAGCTGAAGGAGCAGCTTTGCAAGCAGCTATGTTATCAATTAATAAAAAACAGGATATTGAACAACTGAAAATGTTCGACGTTGTTCCTCTTTCGTTGGGTTTTTCTAGTCTCGGAAGTGAGATGATTGTTGTAATCCGTAGAAACACGAAGATACCGACTAAAGGATCTCAGGTTTCTGTAAACAGGCACGAAAAGCATACCTCGTTTTCTGCTGGAATATATGAAGGTGAACGCACAGATGCAAGGAAAAATCGTTACTTGGGAAAATTATCCATTGATGGCTTATCACCGGCACCTCCCGGACAACGACATGTAACTTTTACTCTCAATATTGATTCGAACGGGATACTAACAGCCAAAGCTGAGGAAATGTTGTCTAATAACGTTAAGGAATTGAAAGTGAATTACACTAGAGGTGACAGGAGTGAGTTTGAAATTCAAAACTCTTTACTAGCTGCAGTTGAAAATAAGGAGGCAGATGAAAAGTTCACAAATTTTGTTCGAATTAAACAGTACTTGATTCAGTATTTAATGCGGTTCTTGTATAACTTTGACAAAAAGAAGTTGCGCTATGGATCGATTAAAATATTTTGCGAACAGACAATAAATGACTTAAATGTTATGGAAGTCGATCAAATTGAATACGTAAAAAGTCTTTTTGAAGAAGTAAGTACAAAATGTTATCCAATTGCCGAAAATTATGAATTTGAATACATGCCTAAAAACCGATAATAGATATGCTTTGTTTGGTTATTATTAATTTTAGACTAAATATGTTTCATTCAAGTTTATTATTAAAAGAGTCGTAGCACTTCTAATTTCGCCAATCAGAAGAGATATTTGTAAATTTTGCTGAATATTAGGAATAAAACCACAGATAACAAGGATTCTATCTTGTATTTTACACCATTAATAATCTGAACAGCAGATGTCTGTCAGTAATGAAAGTACTAATTTTGTACTAGATTTCTTATTGTAATATTGAAAGAAAGTTGGTCCAAGTTGTGTTTTCTGCAGCATCTTTTTCGTCTTTAATATATGTTAATTTTGTTACGCCCTTTACCTTTTTATTAAATTCTTTTTTTTCTTCTGTTGGATGTTATATCAAATGTGGAAAGTATAAACTAGATGTATTCATATAAAAACTTACCGAACCAAACTTATATGGTGCAACGTATATTTTTCTATTTTGCGGTGCATTAGTTTTAACTGTAAATACCAATTAATTTATTATTTGCCTTACAGGCTTAATAAGATTCCCAGTAGGGGTACAAATTAACTTAATCTAATAAATATTCAAGTTTTATATAAGAGTAATTGTTCTATTCTTTCTGCTTGCCCACCCCTTGCGTTAGTTTCCTTATCTTCCGTACTTCTTTCATTCAGTCCATCCTCGTTTAGTACTTCTTCCCTACTTTCCTCCGATTCTCTCAATCCTTCACATCCTTCCAGCATATGTTCTACTGTTTCTCCCTTCCTCCAACATATCCTACACCTTCTATTAGTTTCATCCATTCAAAAATTATTGCCTTTCTCTTCATTTCCACACTTAAATCTCGCCATCATTCTTTTCTCTTTTATACTCCATCTCTCTCTGTACTTTGGTACACCATTTTTTGCTATTTTTCTATACTCTGCATTATATCTAGACTCCGATATTCTCGATCTGCGTTCTTGCTTATCTATATCCTTATCTCTTACACTCAGTTCTTCTTTCATACTCCTCCCCTTTCCTTCATAATACTTGTCTCTTTCGTTCCAAACATATTTTCCTCCTTCCTTTCTTATTTCTTTTCAACATTCTTGCAATATTTTACAATCACCTTTCTCACTAAACTTCTCTTCAAATCCAACCGCCCTTTTACCCGCTTCCACTCTCCTTTTCGTCCGTTTTTTTTCTCTCACTGTATATCTCGGCGTATACTTTTCCAATCCCTATGTCCATTTTAAGTATTTTTTTGCACTCTCTCTATTTCTTCATATTCCCTTCATCCCCAAATCTCAGCTCCGTACATAAACACACTTTTGATCAAACTATCAAACATCATCACTCTTCTCTTATAATCATGTCCAAATTTTCTCTCTCCTATTCCCCATACTATTCCTATCACTTTATTAGCTTTTTGGACCATTTCTTGAATATGCGCTCTAACTGAGTTATTGCTCTTTAATGTATGCCCTAAGTACTGGAATTCTTTCACCTGTTCACTCTTCTTTCCTCTCCATGCCCACTCTTCCTTCTCCTTCCTTACTTTCTTCCCAAACACCACCATTTTTGTCTCACTCCTGTATTTGTATAAAAACTCTCGCTCTCTATTCCATTCACTCTCACCTTACTTACTGTTTCTTCATATACTTCTTCCACTTTCGTTACCATGTACTCATCTACTCCCTTTCTCCTCAAATACTCCCACATTTTCTCTCTATTCACGCTATCAAACGCTGCTTTGAAATCTATGCTCCCTTTTCTCTATCTATTATTCTTATCCTCTTATCACCCAGTCTGCGAAAAAGTAATACTTCGTTAATATACTCGTATTACTTTTTAATAATGAAGGCAATTAATAACAAGTTTTCTTTTCAATTAAGTAGTTAAATATGTTTGTAAGCAAGTCGTCCCTCGAACAATACGTAAATGCTGCATCTCAGTTAATATACGGTATCTCAAGTATTGCTCATGTTTAACAAAAGAAGGTAAAGATCATTATCAAATAATTTTTCATTACAAAAATTATTTTAGATCATAATATACAACTTTGCCGTTGATTCAATAATAATAAAATCTCGCATGTTGAAAATTAAAACACACCTTTTGTGCAAGTAACAGAGAAACACATTTTTTGTAGAAATTCAAAAACACTAGTATAATAATTAGTAAAATTTGCATTGTTAAAATCAGTAGTGGTTGATTGTATTACAGTTAAAAACTAAGACAAAATTTTGAATAGTTTTTGAAAGATGATGTGACAAAAACAGAAAAAATGCAATTCTAAAATTATAAAAGTTGAAGAATTCGATCCACTATCAAATTTTAATATACAAACATTAAATTTTAACGTGAATAGAAGTGGAATAACAAAAACATTATGTCAATTGTGAAAGCTTCATGTATCAACTTCTTCAGAAATCTGTAGATTTTTGATAACTGAAAATACCGCCTCAAATTCTCCCACTGCTTGTATTCCCTACCAATTTTGTGAAGGTGAAATGGACAATTGACACTTCATAACATGTGCATAGAATAACTGGTATAGGAGATCAGGAATTGAGTGGGTAATTTGCCACTCAACTAACTTGTGCTAATCGGCTGATAAGTTTAGTAAATAATCCACTTATCTGTTTTACCTAAATTATTTATCATTATCAGCTTATCAAATAAAAGTTACTTAAGGTATCACGCTGTTATATAGATTAATATTAACTTTGTAATCAAAGAATGCAACCAGTTGCAAGTTTTCTGTATTAACACAAATTTTTAATACTGGTAGTATTCCTTTTCTGTTTGTGAATAATAAAGAAACAAATACCATAATGTTTTAGACTTCTAGAATGGATGATATAATGATTGGTATTGATCTGGGTACCACAAACTCGTATACTTCTGTCTATATGGGAGGCAGAATACAAATTTTAGAAAATGAAATGGGACTACAATTTGTCAAATTTGACATTTTGTTTATTTAAAAATGCTACGCCACTGGTAATAGCCAGATTTACATTAATTTAAAAATTCAAAAAATTTCATGACAACGAAAAATCATGCACTTTTGGGGGGACGCAAATGTATGTTTTAGGAATATTACATACATAAATAATTCTAACTAGTGAAATTTATTCAAAAAAATTTTGTGGACGGAATTAGAAAAATAATGGATTTGGGCGATGTATTGCCCGAAAATGCTAAAAATACAGCCAGTCAAGCATTAAACAGTTTAAATAAAACCGGTAAAATTACTTACATTTATTGCTTTTTAATTCCTTGACAAATATTGACAATTGACATTTCGGTAAGGTAATATATTACCCTACCGATTTTACATACAGGATACAGTTATGGCTTTCCTACCAACCAATTTTTATAAATGTAAACAGGCATTTAATAGACAAAAGCCGGTAAATTTAAAACACAACATATCCAGAGAAAATGTAATTTGATCAATTCGGTTTTGCAGATTCAAATTTGAATTGCACAATATTGTTATATGATTTTGATTTTTTTTCCACGAATCAGGACGTTTCGGGTAAAAACTCAACACGGATTCTTAAACTATACCTGTGTGACTATGTTATTATGTACAATTTAAAACCCATTTACTATATACAATTTTAAGGTGACGTCATCACATTATTGGAGGGGGACTCTTTGGTTAGCGTTTTACCTTCTACATGATATTCATAATCATAATGCACATATAAAATTTGACAACAATCGTTCTAGTAGTTTCGGAGACTAAATATACCTAACAAAAATCGTCACGGTCGGCGAAACGACAGACAGACAGACTGACAGACGGAAACGGGACACCCACTTTTTCGTAATCTAGGGCTCATAACCTATCGAGAAAATATGAAAGGAAGCAATCGCCTTATGGACTCGATTACAATACTTCCTTAGCTTACGCTCGAGACGTAAAAACTGCGACAAAATTTTGAATAGGTTTTGAAAAATGACGTGTGAAAAAACAATAAACGCAGTTTAACAATTATGAAAATTAAAAAAAAAAATTGATTCACTATGAAATTTTAATATGCAAAAATCAAATTTTGCTGTGGATAGAGGCGGAATGACAAAAACTTTATAAACTGTGTAAGATGTATGAACTTCTTCAGAAATCGGTAAATTACTGATAACACCCTCGCTAATTCTCCCATTGCTTGCATTGCTTACGGCTTTTATGTGCTGTCATCTCAAGGTGGAACGGACAATAGACACTTCATAGAATACAGAAAACCCGATATTTAAGATCAGATTTTGAGCAATTGGGTAATTTACCACTCAACTAACTTGTGCTAGTCAGCTCATAAGTTTTCTAAATAATCCACTTACTTGTTCTATTTAGAATACTTATCAGCTTATCAAATAAATGTTATTTAAGATATCACACAGCTATATAGATTAATGTTACTTTACTAATCAAAAAATATAACCAATTGTAAGTTTTCTGCACTAACACAAACTTTTGCTCCTGGTAATATCATTTTTCTGTTTGTCAAAATAAATAACATAATGTTTTACAGATCTAGAATGGATGATATAGTGATTGGTATTGATCTGGGTACCACAAATTCGTCTATTTCTGTCTATATGAAAGGCAGAGTGCGAGTTCTAGAAAATGAAAGAGGAGCAAGAGTTACACCATCTTTTATCTACTTTCCGCCTCAAGGTGGTATCGTCATTGGTGAACATGCAAAAACAATGTCACTTCAGAAACCCGAGAACGGTATTTACGGTAAGCGAATTCGAAATAAGAATTATTCTTAATAATTAGTATCAATACACGTGATATTTGTAGAAGTGAAGCGGCTTGTAGGCAGACAGTTTGATGATACATACATTCAAAAAACTCTCGACTATTTTCCCTTTGCTATATCGTCCGGCGTCTCTAATCTCCCAGTGATTTCTTTTAACCAGAGTAATACAACAATCAAGAAAACTCCACAAGAACTGTGTACAATAATCCTCCAAGAATTAAAAAAATATGCTGAAGCAAAGCTGAATCAGACTGTACACAAAGTTGTGATAACCGTTCCAGCTTACTTCAATGTTACACAACGAGAAGTCACTTTAGCAGCCGCCAAGGATTCCGGATTTACTGTGCTCAAGCTTCTGAATGAACCAACAGCAGCGGCTTTAGCTTACTACTTCGATAATGATATAACAGAAAACCATATTTCATTAGTTTATGATTTTGGAGGCGGAACTTTCGACGTTGCGATTCTTGAAAAAAAAAACTGATAACGTGGAAGTACTATGCGTGGGTGGAGACACTCAGCTAGGAGGTCACGATTTGGATAACTGCATATTAGATTATATTTTGGAGGTGCTACGCAATGATTATAACTACAAAGCGAAAATAGATCCAGATGATAAAAGAAGATTACGCAATAAGTGCGAAGAAGCGAAGAAAGAATTATCATCGGCTAATGAAGCACTGATAACCATAAACGGAATGGTACCTAAACATCCTAGAATTATTATTACACTGAAAAGGGGCGTCTTTGAAGATAAAGCCAGCAAGTTATTCAAAAAAACTATTGACATTTTACATAACTGTGTAGTTGATTCAAAAATTTCCAAGCAATCGATTCAGGAGGTAATCTTATGTGGTGGCTCCACCCGAATACCCAAAATACAAGAAATGGTTTCGGAGTATTTCGGAGGTAAACAGTTGAATAAGTCGATACATCCTGACGAGTGTGTTGCTGAAGGAGCAGCTCTGCAAGCTGCTATGTTGTCAGTTAATAAAAAACAAAATATTGAACAACTGGAAATGGTTGACGTTGTTCCTCTCTCGTTAGGTTTTGGTAGTCTCGGAAATGAAATGGTAGTGATAATTCGCAGGAACACTAAACTACCGACTAAAGAATTTCAGGTATATGTGAACCGTAACGATGGTGAGACCTTAATATCTGTTAGAATATATGAAGGTGAGCGTACAGATGTACGGAAAAATCGTTACTTAGGGAAATTGTCAATTGATGGATTAACACAGGCACCTCCTGGACAACGACGTGTAACTTTTACCCTGAACATTGATTCCAACGGGATACTAACAGCTCGAGCTGAGGAAATATTGTCCAATAACGTTAAGGAAGTGAAAGTGAATTACACTAGAGGTGACAGGAGTGAGTTTGAAATTCAAAACTCGTTATTAGCTGCAGCAGAAAATCAGGAAACAGATAAAAAGTTCACAAATTTTGTTCGAATTAAAACGTATTTGATTCTGTATTTCGTACGTTTCCTGTATAACCTTGATAAAAAGAACTTGAGTTATGAATCGATTAAAATATTTTGCGAACAATCGGAAAAAGACCTAGATGACATGGAAGTCGATGAAGAGGAACGCGTAAAAAATATTTATGAAGAAGTGAAAACGAAATCTTATGCAATTGCCAAAACTCATGCATTTGACTACATGCCTGAAGAACCAACATGCCATCTAGTCTAACATGGAAGATATGCTTTGTTTGGGTGTTATTAATTTTGTTATAAATATGTTTCCTTAAAGTTTGTTATTAAGCAGAACAGATATGTATAAAATTTTGTTTCCATCTATTTTTGCATCATTTTATTATTTTCAAATTTATTGAATATTAAAAATAAAACCACAGATAGTACGAATTGTATGCTATTTTTCTATACAATTAACATTTTGTTTGTATGCCGACTATGAAAGTGCTAATTTGTTCCAAATATCTTACTACAACAATGATAGGAAATTCGTCTAAGTTATATTTTCTGTAATTTTTTGTGATGTTGGTAAAACATTTTTATGTTATTATCTTTGCCTTAACATTTTAGGGAATGCATCCTTTTATGTTTTCTTTTAAGTAAGTATCATACAACAATGCAAATTTTTTCCATTCCATGCCTGTTGATGTTTGGATAAGATAATCAAGTGATGAAAAGTGACAAAAGCAAACCAAAACTAATTTCATTATCCACTTCAACCAACAAAATCGCATCATTATCAAATTTCATCATTTATAAATATGTCGCAAGAAATACTGCAATGTTAGTTCCTTAATAAGCAACCTTAATTTTTAATTTCATGCATAAGGGTCATACCAAAAAACCAAGACTGGAGCAACTGAATGTTTTAATAGCAGCATATTTTAGAAACTATTTCGACTGTTTTATGATTCAGTAATATAATTTGTTTGATATCTCAAAAAAACTGTATGTTTGAACCGTTTATTAAAAAATCGGGTCGTCTAGTTGACATTCTGAGAAGACCAAATACATAGAGATCTACCCGAATTATTGCTGAACGCTGCTCCATGTATTTCCCACAAACTTGTGTCCCATACTATATCTATGGGCAGCCCAACCGATGCCATTCAGGGGAGGCTAGTAAGTATCGGGTTGTAGAAAAAAAGGGATGCGAAAATTGTCATAAGTGAAAAACTGTAGAACACGGCATGACTTATTTTACACAACTATCTGGAATATTAACGATAACAACAATAATTAATTTATGTATACAGTATACAGGGTTGCTAAAAATATGGAAACAGTTGAATACCTCTGGAACGATTAGTTGGATCGTCTTGAAATTTGGGCTATATTTAGAAATGCGCAAGCTCTATTTTCTGTAATTTTTCTAAACTTTAAATTTCATTTGTTTTCAAGATGCAAGGGTTACTTAATTTTTGTTATATATCACCACTAATCAAATCGTCAACTTTTGGATAGAAGATTTTTTTCCAAATTCAAAAAACGGCAAATAAAATTATAAATTATTTATTCTGAATAAATTCTAAAATGGAAAATTGTAGTTAGCTTTGAAAATATTCTCATCGATTTGTCAGTGTGTACTAAAAAGAAAACGTCTACATCCAAATTTAAAAATGTTCCTATAACTGGTGCGGCATTATTGATGGCCACATTGTAGGTCTCTTCTTTATTAACGGAAATTAAACGTCTGATAATAATTTTTCCAACAAAGTATTATTCCTCGACTTAGACAAATATTTCCCAGTTTGCTATGAACACTCAAATTTGTCTGCAGATTTCATCGGGTTTCAACAAGCGGACATCAAGTGGGTATGACATTACTTGAATGAAACCTTTCCTGGAAGGAAAGGAAGTGAAGCACTTGAGTGGCCAGCTAGGACACCTGATTTAACTCCACTGGACTTTGTTCTGTGGAGTTATATAAAAAATTGAGTTGATGTTAATAGACCACAAGTCATCGAAGAACTCCAAGAAAGAATATTAAATGTGATTGCTGATATTCCTCCTAATATTCTTACGGATTCATTTGAAAACTTGGTGCGACATATTTATTATTGCCATTGCCAGGAAGTAAATGCAGAACATTTCGAACACTTGTTGTATAATTATTGTTTTTTAAATGTCATTTTGATCTTTTTGAATAATGTATTTTTTATTTAAATTTTTCAAAAAACTTTCATAAGAATGTGTTCACTATTTACACACATTCGATCGGAGTATTGTTATTTTTAGAATATTTTGTAAATTATTTGGAAACAGCATTTAAGTCAATTTGTTACGTTGGCACCTTTATTTCTATTTATCTACCCTCAGCTCTACCATTTGTACAATGATTGGGCACTAGTAGATATAATTTTTGAATAAACTGTCTTACGCCAGGAATGTGACAGGCGATAGTATTGTTAGATTTTTGAATTCATAACAAAATGCACTATTTAAAGACGGAACGTTTGACTACTAGTGCTATTAAAAAAAAAAAACAAGCTAGCCCTGCATCTCAATAACGAATGAAGTATAACTTTTCAAAAAATTGCAGAAAATAAAACTTAAGTAAACTGTTATATTATAATTTTTAGCGACCTGTATAGTCAGTGTTGAGACGCAAACCTAAATGGTTTTTAAATTGCAATGTATATTTTTATATTGTCCGCGTTTATCTTTCTTATCTTATACTCGATATAAATTATCTAAATTAAGGAATATTTTAGTATGTAGTTGACATTGCGTTGTTATGAAATTGGAATGAGATTTGTGAACACAATTAATTAACTTCACTAGCACTGCTAACTTTTATAGTCAGAAATTTTGAATTACTTATTACAATATTTCTTTGTTGCCTTTTGAGAATGGTTCAGTTTTTACTTTCCAAGCGTAAGCTAATTAAGTATTTTAATGGGATCTATCGGGTATGTGTTCTCGATGCCCCATGAGTATCCTGTTTCCGTTCGTCCGTCGTCGATCTATCATCTGTGTATGTCGATTTTAATTGGTCAGATAATCTCCGAACTACCGAACCGATTGTTATCAAATTTTAAAATTATGTTAGGAATATTGCCTAAAAAATGCTAACTAATGACAATAATGAGAAAGGACTACAACACAACGAAAAGTCGGCGATTAGTTTTATTTATTACACCATAATCATCTTCCGGTTTATAAAGTAAAATGCAAAACATCAAGAGAATAATTTACAATAGTTTTTATCTTTACCTAAATTTTTTTCATTTTACGTTTACTCTAAGTTGGACAGACATTTAATTCTGTTTATCTACCACAATATATCAAATAGTTAATGTTAAATCCAAATTACTGTTACAATTTTCAAAAATGAACTTATTGACCTGGTGAAATGATTTAGTGGTGAGAGCGTAAGACTAATGGCTCGAAGAAAGCGTAAGTCGCAGGTTCGATTCCCTCATGGAGCTTGTTTTTCTTACATTGTGACTGGTATTATCTACATGTCCTTAACTTATAGAGGTTGACATCAAATAAATAAAATTTCACAAAATCAAACTCTGTAACTTTTCGAGGAAGCTGCATTTGTTGGAGTGCACCTTAAGGGCGAGGGAAGTTCTATCTAAATAACTTTAAACATATTTTTGTAGTAGTGTAATAGTTTTCATATGATGAACAGCTACTTTAATGTTTTCTAGAGGTTTCCTGACCCCTAGAATACGAAAAAATTGGTTTAATATTATTTATCGTGCGTTCCTAGCGTAGAACCTGTAAGCAGTGCATTTTATATGGGAGAATTTGCGACGGTGTCGTCAGTTACACAAACACTTATCAATTTCTGAAGAAGTTGATATATGAATTTTATACACTTTGTCTTAAAATTTCGTTTTATCGTTATTTATTACCACGTCATATTTCAAAAACAAAGATCGTTATCAAATACTTCTTCGTTACAAAAATTATTACTTTACACCATAATTTGATTCACTACAAAATTTTATATACAAAAACAAAATTATAATACGAATACATATGAATGGAATAACAAAAACTTTATGATAAATTGTGTATCTGACATCAGTATATTTTTGATAACTGACATCATACAACACAGAATACCTAGTATTTGAGATCAGAAATTGCGAGCGTAATTTGCCACTTAACTAACTTGTGCTAATCAGCCGATAAATTTAGTAAATAATTCACTTATCTGATTTGTTCTCATTATTTATCAGCTTATTAAATCAACGTTATTCAAGATATCACACTAAATAAATTCATATTATTTTCGTAACCAAAAAAATTTAACCAGTTGTAAGATTGCTATGCTGGTATAAACTTTTGCTTCAAGCAGTATTACATTTATGCTTGTCAAAATAAACAAATTATGTATAAAATAAGGTTATAGATCTCCAGAATGGATGATATAGTGATTGGTATTGATCTGGGAACCACAAATTCGTTTATTTCTGTTTATACGAGAGGCAGAATACGAATTCTAGAAAATGAAAGAGGAGCAAGGGTTACACCATCTTTCATCTACTTTCCGCCTGAAGGTGGTACTGTCATTGGTGAATATGCAAAAACAATGTCACTGCAGAAACCCGAAAATAGTATTTACGGTAAGCGAACTAGATAATAGAATAATTGTTAATAATTACTAGTGGACGTGACATTTTCAGAGATGAAGCGACTTATAGGCAGACAGTTTGATGATACATACATTAAAAAACTTTCGAGTACTTTCCCTTTGTAGTAACTTCAGGGGTCTCTAATTTCCCATTGATTTCTTTTAAGCAGAATAAAACAAAGATCCAGAAAACACCACAAGAATTGTATAAAATTATCCTGCAAAAATTAAAAAAAGATGCAGAAAAAAAACTGAACCAGGCAGTAAACAAAGTTGTCATAACCATTCCAGCTTACTTTAACGTTACACAAAGAGAAGTGACTTTAACAGCAGCTAAAGATGCCGGATTTACTGTGCTTAAGCTTCTAAATGAACCAACAGCAGCAGCTTTAGCTTACTACTTCGTTAATGATATAACCGAAAACCATATTTCATTAGTTTATGATTTCGGAGGCGGAACTTTCGACGTTGCGATTCTTGAAAAAAAAACTGACAATGTGGAAGTACTATGCGTGAATGGAGACACTCAACTAGGAGGTCACGATTTGGATAATTGCATTTTAGACTATATTGTAGAGGTGTTACGCACAGATTACCGTTACAATACAAAAATAGATCCAGATACTAAAAGAAGATTACGCAATAAGTGCGAAGTAGCGAAGAAAGATCTATCATCGGCTAATGAAGCATTTATAACCATAAACGGAATGGTACCTAAACATC